TGAGGCACTCCACACACCAAGGAGTGGCGCAATGACAATTCCCCCCCAAGCGCCACCCTCTGTCCCCGACCAGAGAGAAACGAGCGCAGCCATTGAAGGACTGTGCCCTGGATCCCCACGTCGGCAAGGCGGTGGTCCAGGAGTTCGTGATCGACCATGTCAAAGGCTGCTGACAGGTCTAGAAGAATCAGCAGCCCCGACATGCCTCGATCCAGCTGCCTGCGGAGATCATCTGTTAGGGCGACCAGAGCCGTCTCGGTCCCATGACCAGCGCGGAAGCCGGACTGGAATGGATCCAGAGCCGATGTTTCATCCAGATACCTACCAAGCTGTTCAGCAACCGCTATCTCAATCACCTTACCCAGGAATGGAAGATTCGAAACCGGGCGGTAATTGGATAGATCTAAGGGATCTAATGATGTTTTCTTTAAGAGCGGGCGCACCACTGCCTCCTTCAGTTCCCCTGGGAATATCCCGGTGCCAAGGGACAAATTGATGATATCACCCAGGGGGGCCCGCACCTCGTCTGGACACGCTCTAATCAGCCAAGACGGGCACGGGTCAAGAGGACAGGTGGTGGGCTTTCCAGCTCGGAGGAGTCTGTCCACATCGGCTGGGGATATCCGGTCAAAGTGGTCCAATACTGGAACTGAGGACAGTCGAGGGGCCTCCAGTTCCTTTATTGTATCCAAATTGGCAGGGAGGTCATGGCGGAGCAACAGGACCTTCTCCGCAAAAAAGCTCGCAAATGCATCACAGCTGTGTGTCAAATTGTTATTTAAATCTGGCTGTCCTTCAAGGGATATTAAAGACCTAATTATACTAAATAATTGTGCCGGGCGAGAGCTAGCGGAGGCAATGGAGGCCGAGAAGTAGGACTTCTTAGCGGCCTTCACTGCCATCTCGTAGGTTTTCATAAAAACCCTATAAGATGTTCTTGAGGCTCCATCACGGGCACCCCGCCATACTCGCTCTAGCCGTCTGAGGTCCCGCTTCATTTTCCGAAGCTCCTCGGTAAACCAGGGAGCCCGGTTTCTGCGGGGTCGCAGAGGGCGCCTAGGTGCGATCTCATCGATGGCTGCTAGGAGCTGGATATTCCAGCCCTCAACAAGCTCAGTCAATGAGTCGCCAGGGGGAGCAAGGTCCCGCAAGGTCTGACGGAATCTATCAGGGTCCATCAGCCTCTGTGGGCGAGCCCAAATTGGCTCGCCACCTAAGCAGGGTGGGGGTGGAAAATCAATCCTGGCTTTCAGAGCGTAGTGATCAGACCATGGCACCTTCATCAAAGCAGACATGATCACATCTATACCGACGCCAAAGATCAGATCCAGCGTGTGGCCTGCTTGATGTGTGGGGCCCGAAACAAACTGGGAGAGCCCTAGTGTCGCCATGGAAGACACCAGGTCCAGAGCCTGTGAGGAGGGAGTGGCATCAGCATGGACGTTGAAGTCCCCCAATACCAATAGGTTAGGGAACTCCAAGGTCCAGCCGGCCACTGCCTCCAGCAGGCCTGACAGGGTGGCTGCTGGTGCGCTAGGTGGCCGGTACACCAGCCAGACAGCCAAGCTCACCTCGGAGCCCCACACTAGGCCAACACATTCAATGCCGGGGATTGATGGTGATGGTAGAGCCCTGAAAGAACAATCTTCCCGGATTAATAATGCCACCCCTCCCCCCCGGCCCACAGTCCGCGACTGGTGGAGGACGGAGAAACCCAGGGGCGCCATCTCTCGTAAGGTAACAGTTTCCCCTTCGCGCACCCAGGTCTCCATCACACAAGCCAGGTCAACCCCCTGCGAGGTGAAGAAATCACGCAGGGTGGCGGTTTTGTTGCCTATAGACCTGGCATTGCACAACACCAGTGACGGAGGTGAGTAATACTTGCTCACCCTACCCTCGTCCCTCGGGATGGGGCACAGATTGGAAGGGGTATGAGCATATCCGTATCTCGATCCCCTTCGCCTATAACATCTGCCCCCACCGCCATAACTCCCTCGCCCCACCACAGTAGCAATCCCAAGCCTCATACAAACCTCCATTTACAAAATAGAAAACCAGACCAAACCAAAAACAAGTATACCAAACAAAACCAATCCCCACCCCACTCAATATCCAACCCCAAACCAAAATAAAACAGAACCTCTTGGTTCCTCTTGGTTCATGTGGGAACCAATGACACTGCAAGCAATAGCCTCCAGAAGATCAAAAGAGACTAAGAGGCTCTGGGCAGGAAATTGAAGCAATTAAATGCACAAATTGTCATCTCATCTGTCCTCCCAGTTGAACGACGTGGCCCAGGGAGAGAGGGAAAAATAGTGTAAGTGAACAGCTGGCTTCGCAAATGGTGTAAACAGGAACGGTTTGGATTCTTAGATCACGGACTGCAATTTCTTGAAGATGGACTTCTGGCAAGCGATGGGCTGCACCTCACAATGGTTGGGAGGAATGTTTTTGCCAAAAATCTCAGAAACCTCATCAGGAGGGCTTTAAACTGACTAATGTGGGGGGGGAGACAGTGCTCCTGAAGGTAGGAGTCTATCAATTGATGAAGATGATCATCCAAATGTCATAGACCAAATGGAGCAAACAGCACACAGACCTAGTGGTGGGAGGAAAATATCCTTAAATAAGAGACACGGGGGAATGATTAATGGACTTCAATGTCTGTACACTAATGCGCAAAGCATGGGAAATAAACAAGATGAGCTTGAGCTCTTGGTATAGCAAACTAAATATGACATAATAGGCATCACTGAAACCTGGTGGGATAAGTCCCATGATTGGAATGTAATAATGGAGGGATACAATCTATTTCAGAGAAACAAACAAGAAAGGAGGAGGAGTGGCGTTATATGTCAGGGATGTGTATACCTGTGAAGAGATCCATGATTTAGAACCTCAAAGCCAAAGTGAGAGCATTTGGGTCAAAATTAAGGGAGAGAAGAATAACAGAGACCTCATTGTGGGAGTTTACTATAGATCCCCAAGCCAAACAGAGGACATAGATGATGCCTTCCTGGAACAGATGGCCAAGCATGCAAAAGGAAGAGAGATAGTAGTAATGGGGGACTTCAATTACCCGGATATTTGTTGGATGTCAAACTCAGCCAAGAGCATAAGGTCAAACAGATTCCTCACTGGCCTTGCAGACAACTTCATTGTCCAGAAAGTGGGAGAAGCAACAAGAGGAACAGCCATTTTAGATCTGGTCCTAACCAATGTTGATGACCTGGTTAGTGGGGTAGAAGTGGAAGGATCATTAGGCGCAAGTGATCATGCTCTTCTGAAGTTTACTATACAGCGGAAAGGAGCAGCCAAGCATACTAGGACTCAATTTCTTGACTTTAAGAAAGCCGACTTCATAAAACTTAGGGAAGTGCTGGGTGAGATCCCATGGACAGTAATACTAAAAGGAAAGGGAGTTCATGATGGCTGGGAGTTTGTTAAGAGGGAGATAGTAAAAGCACAACGTCAGGCAATACCAATGAGACGGAAACATGGAAGGTGCCTAAAGAAGCTAGGGTGGCTATCTAAAGAACTTTTAACTGAGTTAAGATTAAAAAAGGATGTGTACAAAAAATGGAAAAGGGGGAAAACCACCAAAGAGGAAATCAAACAAATAGCCAGCACATGTAGACACAAAGTCAGAAAAGCTAAAGCATAGAATGAACTCCGGCTTGCTAGAGAGGTTAAAAGCAACAAAAAAGGCTTTTATGGGTATGTTCGTAGCAAAAGGAAGAACAAAGAAACAGTGGGGTCACTCAGAGGAGAAGATGGTGAAATGCAAACAGGGGACACAGAAAGGGCTGAACTCCTCAATGCCTTCTTTGCCTCAGTCTTCTCCGATAAAGAAAACAATGCCCGACCTGAAGAATTTGGAGCAAATGATTCAGCAGAGGAAACACAGCCCAGAATAACTAAGGAGATAGTACAAGAATACTTGACTAGTTTAGATGTATTCAAGTCTCCAGGGCCAGACGAACTGCATCCAAGAGTATCAAAAGAACTGGCAGATGTGATCTCAGAACCACTGGCAATCATCTTTGAGAATTCCTGGAGAACAGGCGAAGTCCCGGCAGACTGGAGGAGGGCAAATGTTGTCCCTATTTTCAAAAAGGGGAAAAGAGAGGACCCAAATAATTACCGCCCAGTCAGTCTGACATCAATACCAGGGAAGATTCTGGAGCAGATCATTAAGCAAACAGTCTGTGAGCACCTAGAAAGGAATGCTGTGATCACCAATAGTCAGCATGGATTTCTGAAAAAATAAGTCATGTCAGACTAACCTGATCTCGTTTTTTGACAGAATTACAAGCCTGGTAGATGAAGGGAACGCAGTGGATGTAGCCTACCTTGATTTCAGCAAGGCATTCGACAAGGTGCCCCATGATATCCTTGTAAAGAAGCTGGTAAAATGTGGTCTTGACTATGCTACCACTCAGTGGATTTTTAACTGGCTGACTGAACGAACCCAAAGGGTGCTCATCAATGGTTCCTCTTGGGCCCGGTCTAATTCAACATCTTTATCAACGACTTGGATGATGGACTCAAGGGCCTCCTGATCAAATTTGTAGATGACACCAAACTGAGAGGGGTGGCTAACACCCCAGAGGACAGGATCACGCTTCAAAACGACCTTGACAGATTAGAGAACTGGGCCAAAACAAACAAGATGAAGTTCAACAGGGAGAAATGTAAAGTGTTGCACTTGGGCAAAAAAAATGAGAGACACAAATACAAGATGGGTGACACCTGGCTTGAGAGCAGTACATGTGAAAAGGATCTAGGAGTCTTGGTTGACATGAGCCAACAGTGTGACGCGGCAGCTAAAAAAGCCAATGCAATTCTGGGCTGCATCAATAGGAGTAGAGCACCTAGATCAAGGGAAATAATAGTGCCACTGTATTCTGCTCTAGTCAGACCTCACCTGGAGTACTGTGTCCAGTTCTGGGCACCGCAGTTCAAGAAGGACACTGACAAACTGGAACGTGTCCAGAGGAGGGCAACCAAAATGGTCAAAGGCCTGGAAACGATGCCTTATGAGGAACGGCTAAGGGAGCTGGGCATGTTTAGCCTGGAGAAGAGGAGGTTAAGGGGTGATATGATAGCCATGTTTAAATATATAAAAGGATGTCACATAGAGGAGGGAGAAAGGTTGTTTTCTGCTGCTCCAGAGAAGCGGACATGGAGCAATGGATCCAAACTACAAGAAAGAAGATTCCACCTAAACATTAGGAAGAACTTCCTGACAGTAAGAGCTGTTCGACAGTGGAATTTGCTGCCAAGGAGTGTGGTGGAGTCTCCTTCTTTGGAGGTCTTTAAGCAGAGGCTTGACAACCATATGTCAGGAGTGCTCTGATGGTGTTTCCTGTTTGGCAGGGGGTTGGACTCGATGGCCCTTGTGGTCTATTCCAACTCTATGATTCTATGAGAACAAAATAAAAATACATCAATAAAAACCACCATTCACGGTGATACAACAAAGTAAAAAGTAAAAACCCCTTTAAAACACTTTAATATATTGTCAGGAAACTGACATCAGAGCAACAGGCGAAGGAGAGGCTCTCTGATTCTGCAGGGGAAGGAACAAGCACTAGGGGGAGATGCAGCTTGATGGAGGGGGAAGGAAATCAGCGTAACACCAAGGAGCCAGGAGAGCAAATGGGAGAAGAGGTGGAAGGGCTCCGGGATTCTTCCTTGGAAGTCAGTGAGGAGAGCCCTGTTCCTCCACTACCCACGCCCTCCTTGCACAGGAGACTCCCACGCAATGAGAGGCGGAGACGATTGGGAGTCAAGCAACTCTTATGCTGGCAACGGTTTAAGAAATGCCCACAGACAGACTCTGCGAGCGACTGAGGCAGCCACGCTGAGATGGGCTGTGCAGTCAGGACGGTTTAACCCAGGCAGCCAAGCTCCCAAAGGGGACAGTTTACGCACGAGTAACTCCAAACCACTACAGCACTCTGTCTGTCACCGAAAGTTGCTCGTGCGCAACAAGTAGGCGGCATCATGAGTAAGACTGGAGAAGTCAGAGTCACGGAGGGGGCTGCTGGAGGACAATCGCTGGAGGAGAGAAACCGCGACTTGGAACAGCACATAGCCCTCTTGACAGCGAGGCTGGACGAACAACGGTCTCAGGATGCCCAGGGGAGGCCCACCCCCATAGCAAGGAAGGTACCGGGACTGGTGCATAAGTTTGGGGGGAGACCTCAGGATTATGGGGTGTTTAGAACAGAAATAGAATACGCCTTGAAACTGCAACAGAGCGATTTTGAAGATGACGCAGCGCGGGTTGCTTATATTGTGGGGCACCTGCAGGATGGGGCTAGAGAGTGGACGAGGCCCCTTATGGCGACGCAAAATGCTGCCATGCAGGACCTGGGGAAAATTTTCCAGGCGATGGATGCAATGTTTTCCAGTGATGTGCAGCAAAGTGTGACAAAACGGGAACTGATGAACTGTAGGCAGGGAGACCAGTCAGTTAGAGACTACTGGTCACGTTTTGCAATGATAGTTCACCGTCTCGGGTGGCAGCTGGACTCTGAACCCATACAAATGTTGTTTGAGGAGGGGTTGTCACCAACGGTCAAGGATGAGCTTTCGCACGCACCCCGCCCACAGTCCATGGATCAGCTGACCAAAGCAGCACTTGCAATTGGTGTACGGCAGGAAGCGCGGGTGCAGGAGAGGCGGGAAAGGAGAGAGCAGCGTTGCCATGACTACCGCATTCCTGACATACCAAGGCAGCTTTCCCCGCCGGAGCAGCCAATGGAAATAGGTGGTGGGCGCGCCCGGGAGGTTTCAAACTCCAGCGAAGGTTGCAAGAGGGAGGGAAAGGACGTTAAAACAACCAAGAAATGTTTCCTCTGCCAGCAGCCAGGACATTTTGCCAGAGTCTGCCCGCAGAGAAAGGCCTGGCAAGGAATGGTGGGGGCCGTGGGAGGTGAGGAGGAAGAGCAACAGACACAGGAACAGGGAAACGGGAACGCTTGGCTGCCAATCAGCGGGCACAGCAGCCAGGCCAGCAACCAGTAAAAGTGCCCAAACCAGATTCCCCAAGGGCAGCGATAGCCATTGAGGTGGTGCTAGAACTCCCGAATGGGCACCCAGTCAAGGTTCAGGGGATGCTGGACTCAGGGAGCTCCTGCAATTTCTTCAGCAGGGACTTTGCATTAGAGCACCAGCTTCACTTGCTACCTTTGGATTTTCCCTTGCAAGTAACCACCATTGATGGGAGGGAGCTTATTGGAGGGGAAGTGACCCACCAGACCCCACCAATGAGAATGAGGGTGTCTAGGCACTCAGAGACGATCGCCTTTTACGTTGCCTCACCAGCGGGGCCCCCAATAATATTAGGAATGAGCTGGCTAGCACAACATGATCCCGTGGTGGCGTGGTATCAGCGGACAGTCAGCTTTGGGTCAGCCTACTGCCTGGAGCACAGCCTAGGAGGGGAAACACCCAGGATGAGTGTTGTCCGAGTGGCAGGAATGGCAGTAGGACGGAAGGGGGAGGTGCCACCACAATATGCTGATCTGAAGGAGGTCTTCAGTGAGAAGGAGGCAGATAGGCTACCACCCCACAGGCCCTTTGACTGCCAAATCAATTTGCTCCCGGGTGCGCAGCTGCCGGTGGGTAAACTGTATGCCATGTCGGACAGGGAGATGAAGGAGTTACGGGAGTTTATTGACAAGAACCTAAAGAGAGGATTCATAAGAGAGTCGAAAGCATTGGGGGGCAGTCCGGTGTTTTTTTTTGAGGACAAAAAAGACACGGACAAACCCAGGCTTGTAGTGGACTTTAGGGCCGTAAATTCGGTGTCGGAACCAGTGACTTTCCCAATGCCCAGAATTGACGACATTTTGACGAGGGTGAGGAAGGGAAAGATTTTTACCAAACTAGACCTCAGAGGGGCTTACAACCTGATCAGGATGAGGGAGGGGGATGAATGGAAGACCACCATGTTCACCCCCTAGGGGCCTTTGAATATTTAGTTATGCCTTTTGGATTACAATCAGGCTCCGCCTGTTTTCAAGGTTTCATGCACCATGTGTTGGGGTCTCTGCTTTACAAGAACTGTGTGGCCTTCCTGGACGACGTCTTGATTTATTCGGAAAGCGAGGAGCAACATGTGAGAGATGTCAGGGAAGTGCTACAAAGATTGCAGAAACAACAGTTGTGGGTCAAGCTAGAAAAATGTCAGTTTCATGCCAGAGAAGTGGAGTTTCTGGGGTACAAGTTGTCTGACAAGGGCTTAGCGATGGACCCAAGCAAGGTGCAGGCAGTGTTGGAATGGAAGCCCCCAAGGATATGGAAGGACGTACAAAGGTTCCTAGGTTTCAGCAACTTCTATAGGAAGTTCATAAAGAACTTTGCTCACTTGACCGCACCCATCACGGACTGTCTCAGTAGCAAAAAGAAGTTTGTGTGGACGGAGGAAGCACAGCAGTCCTTTGAAAGATTGAAGAAGGCGTTCGCGTTGGAAGAGCAACTATTACACGTAGACTTGGAGAAACACCTGAGGCTAGAGACCGACGCGTCTGACAGAGCCATAGGAGCAGTCCTTTTGCAGCCCGGGCGGAGCAAACAGGAATGGAAACCGTGTGCCTTTTTCTCGAGGAAGCTGAGCAAGTCGGAGCAAAACTATACCATGTATGACCGAGAACTGCTCGCAATCTACGTTGCCTTTCGTCGTTGGCGTCATCTACTGATAGGGGCGCAGCACAAGATCCAGGTTTGTACAGATCACAAGAACTTGGAATACTGGAGGACTGCACGAGTGCTCAACCAGAGACAGATTCGCTGGGCGCAGGAATTCTCCAAGTTTTCTTTTGAAATCCAGTATGTGCCCGGAGAGGAAAACGTGAGAGCGGACACTCTCTCGCGGAAGCCAGAGTACTTCGAAGGAGAGGGGCCACCGGAGACACGACACATCACACCTGAGGACCGATGGGTGTGTGGGGGAACTCTAGTGGGCAAAAGAGAACTGGCAGGGCTTACTAGGAACGATGAATTCGCACGAACTAAAATCAGGGTGCTCCGAGATGGGAGAGAGGCACCAGAAGGGTTTGAGGAAAAGGAAGGGGTGTTGTACTATAGAGGGGCCATGTATGTACTGGGGGGAGCTCTAAGAGAATGGGTACTCAAACAACTCCACGACAACCCCACAGCAGGGCACTTTGGACAGCACAAAACGATGATGTTGGTCACCAGACAGTTCTGGTGGCCACGGGTGAGGGAGGATGTACGGGAATATGTACGAGGGTGCGACCGCTGCCAAAGGGCTAAAGGGGAGCGAACGGTACCAGCAGGTTTACTGGAAACCTTACCCACACCGAGCAAACCCTGGGAGGTGGTGTCCATTGATTTTATGACTGATTTGCCCAAATCACGGGGGGAAACCGCGGTCATGGTAGTAGTCGAATTACTGACCAAAATGTGCCATTTTATAGCCTGCTCACATGCGGTGACGGCCGAAGAGACGGCACGATTGTTCGTAGAGCACATTTTCAGGTTGCATGGTGCCCCCTTGAGGGTTATCTCCGACCGCGGAAAACAATTTACCTCCCGGTTCTGGAGGAAGCTCATGAGCTTGCTGCAAGTAGAGGTGGGGTTCTCGACAGCAAGGCACCCAGAGACCAATGGGCAAGCGGAAAAGGCAAACAGTATACTTCAACAATACTTACGCTGCTACGTCAGCGAGAGGCAGAATGATTGGGTAGAGAAACTAGCGCTGGCGGAATTTGCGTACAATAACGCTGAACACGTGTCGATGGAAATGAGTCCGTTTATGGCCAATTATGGGTGCCATCCCAGAGCCTTCCTGGGGAGTGAGGAGCAAAGCTGGAGTGTACCCGCGGCAGAGCAGTTCGTGGAAGAAATGGAGGCCCTACACCAGCAACTTAAGATGAACTTAGAGAGGGCTAAGGCGATTTACAAGAAGCAAGCAGACAAGCACCGCAGGGAAGGGGAAACCATACGGGTGGGGGACCGGGTGTGGCTGTCCACTCAAGGGTTACCTTTTAAGGGAGGGTGTAAGAAGTTGCAGCCCAGACGGCTGGGGCCATTTGAGGTAACATAACAGGTAAACCCCGTAGCATTCAAGCTCAAGTTGCCCGAAAGTATGAAGATACACCCTGTGTTCCACAGGTCCTTGCTCTCACCACACAGGGAGGGGCGGGAATTCCCAGGGCGGGAGGTAGGAGTCATCCCACAACCGCAGGTAGAAGAAAGGGAACACCAGAGCTCGGCCACGGAAATAATTGATTCGAGGTGGCGAGGTCGTCAGGTGGAGTACTTGGTGGCTTGGGAAGGGGAGCCCAGGTCAGAAAACACGTGGGTTCCCGCGGAAGCCGTCGATGACAGGTATATGGTGGAAGTATTCCATCGCCGGTTCCCAGACAAGCCC